GGAAGTGGGAGGGGAAGGGGAAAGGAAAGAAGGGAAAAGAAAAAATATGAGAAAAGGAAAAAATGGAAACAAAGTCTCTGTAAATAGGGAAGGGTGGAGGAGGTGAAGGAAGGGCAGGGGAATGGGGAAAACAATAAGAACCAAGATACATCATGTAAAGGTACAAGATCCCAATGATGAATGTAACTGTATTGTACACTTAAAATGTACCGATAAACTAAATGGAGAAAAAAATAATGTGAAAGTCAATCATGTAAGTGGCTATGAGAATAAGTAGTTTTTCCAAACTCCAATTTTAAAAACACTACAGGTGCTACTAGTAATATGACAGTATTGATTGAATGTTTATGAGTGCCCAGGTCTGGGGGAAACTTCATGTGTATTAGGATTTAGTCATCACAACTTCCTGGGAGGCTGCCATTAGAACTTCCCGCCTTCTACCGGAAAAGCTCTGAAGCTGAGGGAGTTCATTCATTTGGCCAAGGTCATGAAGCATTCAGCGAAGCAGCTAAGATTAGAACTTTGGAGGACTTTTAATTTAGCTACTGGACTTCAAGTTTCCAAGATATCTGTGTCCACAGAACTGTTGCAGTTGTCAGTGGCTGTCTCTGATGGGAGAGATCATGAGGGAAGCCCATGGTTTGAACTGACCAAGGGACAGTAGCTTCCCACAGGGCGCTACTGCCCCCACTGGCTGCAGTGTGTAGGCTTTGGAACTGTCTTTCAGGAGCACACACATCAGTTCTGCTTCCTCCACAGAACAGGAGCACAGAGCCCGACTGTGACCACGAACAGTCCCCCCTCTACCTTGAGCGAGCCAGCCGGAAAGGCTTGCTCAGCCTAGACCACCCTTGTCCTAGGTAGTGAAGACTCCTGGAGAGCACTGGTCTAGATTTATTACTCTTCAATAATTGATGGAACCGAGAATGAATTTTAAAACCCTGCTAGGACTTGTCCAACTGACTTTCCCAGAAGTGGACATGTATCTGTAGAATCTGTTTCTGTAACATCTCATTAATTTTTCAATGTTCCCAAAATACATGGCGCTGCCTGCAACTTGGGCCACACACTTATTCAAGTTTTCCTCATTGAGTGAGCTGCTTAATGAGTTGCATTAAGCTATAAGCGTAGTGCTGTTAAGCATTGCTGTGTTGGAATTGCTTTGCTTGTTTTGTAGAACTCATTAATCACCGGCAATTAGCACTGTTCTGCTGTACCAAATGGCACCATTTGGCATGTTCTGTAGTCAGTACTATGGCTGTGATGATGTCGCTTAGATTTCACGTGCCGTCTGCCTTTATGCAAAGATAAAGCAGAATGAAGAGGCTCTTCAGCCATTTCTTACTTTCTTAGCTACTGGAGGCTTAATTATAAACAAAAATTACAATGTGCAACACTTACCACTCCTCTCTTGGAGAAAGGCCATCTTGGCTTTTTGGATTCTGGTGGGTGAAACAAAATATACCATTACTTAGAGTAACTAACTGGTGACAGATCATTGCAGAGCTTTATGAAATCCCCTTTTTGAAAATAAGCCAAGCAGAATTCCTCCTGCTTTAATTCTCCTCCTCTAGAAAATGCACAGAATCAGTACATTTTTGCTGATGAATGAGTGGCACCATGTCATAAGGTTGGGCATCTTCTGCTGCCTGAGGAAATGCTGGTCTGCTTCTGCACTGGGGTAGGCTTAGTGTTCTTTTCCTCGTCACTTGGGGAGAAATCTATAAAGCAACGATGATGCGGAGTAATTCATTTAAGACAGAATCAAAGCACTTTGGGCAGAAAGGACTGGCTCTTTATTTTGACTTCATCCTACCATAACCCCCCCCGCCCACATGTAACGTCAGGAACCTGACCACGCTCAGGCCTGGAGCTTGCATTGGCCCAGTCCGGATGTGGTTCTGCAGACCCCTAAAATAGGGAACAACAGCACATGTCACTGCCACTGTCCTACTTGGTTCTTAGGAGCTGCTCACATTTTTTTTTTTTGTACTGGGGATGGAACTCAGATCCTTGCGCTTTCGAGGCAGGCGGTGGAACCACTGAGCTAAATCCCCGGCCCTACTCACATATTTTTTGATGACCAAGAAGTAAAGAGATTACATTCTTTTTTAAAAAATTGTGTGTTGTTTATGTTAGTAAAATGAAAACACAGCTGGGAATCATCTCTTAGGTTATAGGAGAAACTCTGGCCACTCAGTGTACAAATGGTGGTGCTGGAGGTGTCTTTCTGTTGGATTCACTGAGACCATAAACATAGTGCTTCAGTCAGACGGAAGTAATTATGTGAGCGGCACTGACTGCAAAGGAGGTGTGTAAGGACTTTATCAACTGTAACCTTGGACAGGTCCTAATTAGTCCAAGGGGTTATCCTCTCATTGGCTTTGTAAAGGGGACAGTAGGTGGAATCACCCTTAGGGCCAAATCAGATTCACACACTCAGCCTTCAAATGATTGGTAGTAAATTATCACATCTAATTGAACTTGTCTTGTCCTTGGCAAGTTTCTCCCTTCTGGTTTTCTAACTTTGAGGACAATTTTGGAGCTTAGGGGGTACTTTACAAATATTCAGAAGAAGATTTTAATGAGTATTGGATAGACAGTCGTTCATTATCTATCTTAAGTATGTTTGCTAAATCAAAATGTCTCTTGCAACAGTATCTGCAGGAGTTTCATACCCACGTCAAGAGAGGCACTGCTGCAGGCATCGGAAACACCAGACCTCTGTTCTGAACTCGAGAAGAGGGCACAGTGAGCTACGCAGTGTCTACCGTGATGCTAGGCACCCAGCTTAAAAATAGCTGGTCTAACATGGAAGCATCGCACTGGAGTGCAACTTTGCTCCTTAGAATGGTGGCTGTTAAACTTCAGGTGGCATCAGAATCACCTGCAGGGATTGTTATAAAATGGATTGGAAGACACCACCCTCAGAGTTGCTGATTCAGAAGGGTTGGCATAGGGCCAAGAATGTGCATCTCTGACAACTTCTCAGGGGATGCTGAGGCTGCTGGTGTGAGACCAGCCTTTGGTTAATAGATTTAGAACATTTGTGAAGTGTCATGAAACACAGACTAACCTATGCTGGGGTTACGATGGACTTGGAACTAGCTTGGCCTTCTGCAGGGCACGTCCTCAAGCAGATCATGTAGCCCCCCTTAGCTTGTTCACTTGGGTTTGTTGTATCTTAGGAGGCAATAGCTGTTTGTTCTTATATGTTGTATCACATAAGACAGTAGATGGGAAAGAGATCTATAGTGATGGAAGAGTTATAAACTTGCTCTTTGTGCTGTACTTCCTGGTGGCCTCTGGGTTCCACATGCAGAAAGTACATCGTCCCAGAGAGTGAGGGTGGATTTGGGCTGGTGAGAAGAACTACTCGCTACCATTCAGAGTTAGATTCCACCCCTCTGAGACAAGTGGCTGACACCAAGAATAGGACTTTGCAGATTTGTGAATAAGAACTGGGCTTGATGGTTTTGCCAGGTGTCCAATTCTCTTAGCAATGCCTTAGACACAGGTCTTACTGGATTTCTGAATAAGAATTCTTTGGTAAAATGGACCCGACTAAGAACAATCAGTTTATCCACCAACATGGATAAAATTTACGTCTCATTTTGGGTCTCAAAGCCTGCAATTTACCTCCCCTAGGCATCGTGAGGAAAGCACCTACGTACCATAGTTGCTCTTTTTCTTCACAGTTGAGGATCCACCTTAGGGTTACCTCTCTGTCAGACATTCATGTGCCCTGAGCCCCTTGGCCTCCTCCACATGACCATCATGGCTGGAGGACATCAGTGTGACACTGAAGACCAGGAGTGAGTGAAAGATAAGACACAAAGATTACAGAAAAGCTGCCCACCAGCCAGCAAAGACTCTCTGATCCAAAATGGTGGCCATCACTGGAGCACCTGTCCTGGGTCCTGGACTTGGGATAAATAATCTTACAAGAGGTCATTTAGGGGGAGACCCATTCCTCATTCATCTCTGTAAACAGAACGCCTACCACCAAGACTGGTAGTCAGCTGGTTCCGATCATTCATGCCTTGTGCCTGTTCCAGTTGGTAAGGCATTGGTTCCAACACACTGGTGTAGTGTCCTCCTAGTTATTAAATATTTAGAAAATCTCTCTCACTTACGACCATCTCTGACCCATAGCAGACATATAATGAACAGGACCTGAATTCAGCAGCAGAAGTGGGTGGCACAGGTAATCAGCAGCTCCATCAGACACCAGGAGGTCCCCGGGGAACACCTCAAGCCCGGGTAAGTTCAACACCACGGAACTCCGCCTGTGCTCGTAGAACCTGTGCTCAAGAGCGGAGAGGTGAGAGCTCAGATCAGGGGTTCAGGCAGGCCCCCCTCCTTCCACTGGTCACACAGAAGTGGCTGCTAATTTCCTGGATCTCTTGTCTGTACCAACACAACCACCTCTTGGTTCTTCACCTTTAGCTTTATCTGCTCAATTCCACCCTATGCAAAATCATTAAATGTGTTACTCAAAATTTAAGTCTGACCCTGTTCCCCTGAGGCTTAAGACACTTCAGTAGCTCTTCATTCTTTCCCACCTCAAGTCATTTTAAACAATATACTTATGCCTTCTGTGGTCTTTACTTTGCAATTTATTTTCCAGAAATAGGGGGTGGATTGCAGTTCTCCACACACAGCAGTGTTTCACTTGTAGGTGCCTTAGCTGGAAATGCTAAATCTCCATTTAGTAAGGGCTCAGCAAACATTTGTGAAGTAAATGGAACAATAATCAAACCCATGATCACTAGTGTTTCCCAACATGCACTCCTGCAGAATGTGTACTCCAGTAATAGTGAGCTTCGCATTGTTCTTTAACCACTCCATACTTCACGCCTCCATGCCTTAGCTCAGGTAGAGCCCATCTGCCTTCCTAGCTCTGCTTAATCTGCCTGGCAAATTGATTCATCGCTGAGTTCCAGCCTAGATGTTCTTCGTCCAGAAGTCTATTCTGATCCATTTAAGAAGGGTCAACCCTCTCTCCTCTCCTTCTCCTCCCCCTAACCCTGTTCTTCTAATGACTTCATTCAAAGCTCCTCCTGGGTCTTATATATCACAGGATCCAATCTCTTAGCATAGAATCTGACATAATGCAGGTTTTCATAAATAGACATAACCTATAGCATAAAATACTGACAGTCCTCAAGTGAATTTGGTTCCACATTCTGGATCACAGATGAATAGTTATATGCATACACAAAAGCAGAACACAATGTGATCCTCCCCACCTTCTCTCTGTTTCATTATAGGTGGTTAAATTACCCAACCCACTTTTCCCTTGTCTGGGACAGCTTTGAACATAAAGCATCCATTTGGGATGACATAGGTCATGATTGGAATTGCATTTGCACATATGGAAAAGAGGGAAGACACCTGACTTGCACAAGGGTTGAGCCATGACCTTGTCTTTTGACTTTGATGGGCAAAAACCCAGTGAGGCTCTTTATGAGGAGGTAGAAATGTCGCTGAAGGGCACAATAGGATCTCTGTAGACATGAAATATTTTTGTTCATCAAAAGGCAGCATGGGTTAATAAACAATATCAAGAATCACAGTTGTAATGTTATAGACACCTAGGAAAGCAATTAGAAAGAATAACTGCACCCAGTCATATGAAGAGATAAATGGTACAGAAAACATGTCCTTACATCATTCATGCCTGGCAGTGATTGGATTTCCGGGCACTCTGAAAAGCATCCTGGCCTCTCACCTGGAGCTGGTCAGACATTGGATTGATGATACTAACACAAATAGTTATAATGAGGTCTACGTGGCTCTGACTTTAGGTCTGTTGGAGCTGTGTGTTGTTTCCAGATTGGTGTCTTATTTGTGCTGTCCTAAACGTTAGGGTTGCTTCTTCTAAAAAGTGGCATGCATGCAGGATCATGTGCTCAGTTCTGGATTGATTACCCACTGAAAGTAACTGTAACGAATCCAGGTTGCACAGCAACAAACAAAGCGGTGTCTGCATTGGGTGACGGTGTCCTGTGTGAAAAGGGCAGGAAATGGTATTTTCAGATATCTGGTTTCCTTATAAGGAGACTAAATGAGGAAATAAACAAATAATAACTGCAAAACCTTTGGAGTATTGCTGGCAACCCATTGCCACTATGTAAGCATGTGACGATATAACTATTCTGCCCTTCACTGGTTTGGAAAAACGTGAATATTTCTGAGAAATGCATTCTTTTTGGTGTTTTTTGCTTGATCCTTGATTATTATTTTGCTTTAGGACAAATTTCTGGACTCAGGAGACTGTATCGCAGAGTGCCTCACCCACGCCTTGCAGCCCTCTGGAGTTGACCCCTTTGCCTTGGCCAACCCCAGCCCCACTCAGAAGCCAAAATACAGCCACACTTACACTAACCCCGAGGTGCGATGCCCCACGCTGGTCAGATCCGAAGGGACCAGTCCCATGGTGGCTGGAATTACTTTGTCTCCTTTCTGGTACCAGAACGTCTCCGTATTCTGTCCTCTGCTGCAGACTGGCAGATCCACGGTGTGGGCTGGGGCAGCAGCAATTCAGAGAATCTCGGGAATTCCCTTCACCACCCAGCAGGTCCCACCCATGAGTCAACACTCAGCAATGAGGCTGGGGCCCTAAAATTTGGTGCTGGAAGAGTTGCTAGCTGCAGGAAATGTGTCTCACCGCACCCCAAATGCATATGTTTCATAAGCTATAGATTGGTCTTGGTGAATATTATTCTAATTTAAAATTAGCTGACATACACCGAGCTCCGATTTTTCCTAGACATGGCCCTAAGCATCTTACATATTTTAAACATTATCACATTGATTTTCACAAGCATCCTAGGAAGTAGAAATTCCTACTCTCAGTTTAGATGGAGGATATTGAAGCTGAGAAAGCTGAGTGAAGAGGTCACTTAAGGGCACATTGTTTTAGTGAGTGACAGAGGCAGAATTCAGAACTCCAATAGGCAGGTCTGACTCTAGAAAGATTTGTAAACAGGACAAAGAGAAAAAGATACTGCCAATCACTGCCAAGCACAGTGTTGGTTCTAAATTAGTGCCTGGTTTCCAAATTGGAGTCAACTTTAATAAAAACAGGCATGTGGTGAGTTGAAAGGCCCTCTGCCCAAGGGATAATGCCCACATTCTGAAACCTGGAGCCTTACTTGTAAGAAGGTTCTGAGCAGATGTAATGAAACAAAGGATTGGGGTGAGAAGAGGTTCATTGATGAGTGTCTTGAGAAAAGACAATTCTGTTGAGACTCAGAAAGGACAGAAGGCCACGTGAAGACAGGCCAAGACTGAGGTGGAACAGCCACAAGCCATGCAATGCCTGGATAAAGGAGCAAGGAGAGTTTTTCCCTAGAGCCTCCAGAGGGCGTGTAGCCCATATGATTTTACATTGCTGGCTTCCAGAACTGAGAAAGGATAAATTTCTACTTTTTTTTTTTTCAAGCCACCCAGCTTATGCTGATTCATTGTAGCAGCCACAGGAAACTAATCCTGGGGTTATTCTATTGAGTGGCAAAAGTCCTGGACTTAGGTCTGGATTCCCAGCGGTGACCTCCATCATGAGTGACCTTGGCATCTTTGTTCTTTGGGCCCCAATTCCCTATGTGGCAAATGAGTGTGTCAAGTGAGATCTTTTCCATCCCTCAGGACAGGCTCACCATGGAGGACCACTCTGGTCTCCTCCTTCATTGGCCAGTGGGTGGTGTAGGGCTTACGTGATGATGTTTTATCTTGGCAGAAATGCTTGAGGATGAATAATTCAGAGTTCCCTCTTTAGAAATGTGACTCATAGATCATTCACATTTTAAAAAGATTTCTTCTCTACAGCTGATTTAAACTAAGGACTGCTGGCCTTAAATTACCAGGTACAATTTATTTATTTATTTATTTTTTGGTACCAGGGATTGAACTTGGGACCTCACACTTTCAAGGCAGGCGGCAGAACCACTGAGCTAAATCTCTGGCACCAGGTACAATTTTTAAGGGACAACAGTGAAAAATGTTAGAGAATATAGGGAGTAAGTAGCAACTTCCCTAAGGTGATATGTGTTTCTTAATGGAATAAAAATCTTATTGAAGCCACTATATGCAGACATTTGTCTTTCCTCTGCTACAAATGTTGCCCAGTGTTTTCTCCAAATTATTAGGCTGTATTCCTCCGAAATTATAATTCTTGCCAGAGAGCAAAATTTCATAGAATGTAGCCTTTTCTAGCAGGGACTTTTCAGCTACTGGGTGACCAGAAAAAGTAGATATTCTATATTAAGAATCAGGGTTTACTTTATGCAAGAAATATAGTGGAGTTTTGAATGTTAGCTTCTAATGATGGGTTGACTACATAGGAGGAACAAATTAAGAAACAATAACAAGCTTTGAAAAATACTCTTATTAGTAGGAGAGTAATGACAACTCTGATACCAATCATGGAACTATGGCTTTTTTGGTTAAATGTAGGATATATTTTTTATTGGGAGTCTCAGAAGTTTGAGAATAACATACTTTTCTATGTTTGACTATAGTTTCTAGGTCAACTTCTTACTATAATGTTCCATTTGATGGAAATGTAGTCCAGAAGGCAGAAAGGATGAGGAGGAGTCCTTCATTGTTTATGGCCAAGAACCTCACACCTGGCTGTTTCACAAGTGTGGAGCAAACCCCTGAAATATGTGTGTCTAGTACACCCATTTGAATCCAAATAGAGACACTGCTTGGGAGTCACCCATATGTGCAAAATACTTTGTCCTGTGGCTTGTGGGGCTTTGAACACACTTGTAGCTGGAGCTCTACCCTCTTTCTAGGTTACTATGTCTTTTGGACAGGAGTCAAAATATTACTTAATGGGCTCAAACAACCATTGTACAAATTTCCACAGCCCTCAGATATATTCAAGAGCACAAGACAATAAGAAAGATGAAAGCTGGAGGAAAACATGTAAGAACTTGGAGGAGAAAATATTTTTTACAAAAAGGGGAAAGAGTCATACAAATCATTCATTTTCTCCAACAAGGCATGTCCAAACCTAGCTAATAATCCATTTCCTTTTTTTGTGTAGTACTGGGGATTGAACCCAGGCCTTTCCCACTAAGCTACACCCTCAGCCCTTTTTAAATTTAGAGACAGTGTCTCTCTCAGTTATCCAGACTGGGCTCAAACTTGTGTCTTTTCAGAGCCCGAGTATAACAGGCATGCACCACCATGCCTGGCTCCATTTCCTTTTTTCTTCCTTAGACATTTATTGAATACCTGCTATGTGCAAGAAACTGTCTAAGCAGTGGGAATACCTTAACGAACACTCTGGCTTTCCTGGAACTTGCATTCCAGAGATCCTGAAGCTCATGGAAGCAGAGGTTCCCTCTAGCCACACCCATACTTGTTGGTTCTCTGAGGCCACAGCCTTCTCTTCTGAGGAATCAGCAATATACTGCCCATGAGCCTCTAGTTAATACCATCCCAACAGGCTTTTTAAAAGTTTGTTGAGAGTCTTCTCCCTTTCTTGTATTTCCAGGAGTTTTCAGACAGTGCTACATACATCACAGGTTTTAAATAAAAACCTGTGGAAAGTGTAATATTGTATTCAGCTTAATGGTGGGACATGTCAGATGAGCTTTCTGTGATCAAACATTTAACTCTGAATATCTTAGAAACCAGTAACTTTGATAGGGGAAGTTCTGAATGAATGAATGAATGAATGAACAGATGGTGTCTCTAAAAAATAATACTAGATACTATTTGTACTTCACTTTTTAAACAGTACAAAAGGCTTTATGAGATGAATGCTATTTGTATCTCCACTTCTTGGATGCAAATATCCATTTCCAGCCATTCAGGGAGTTCCCAAGACCATGATGCCAGGAAGTGGAGGCAGGATTTGAACTCAGCTGTTTGACTTCAGCAGGTTGTATCTTGGTGCTCTGCTGCCCACAAATGGTCACCCCAGATGGATGTGACAAGTTGCATTGATATTTTATTTGGGTTCTTTCTCAAGAGAGACTTTCAAAATACATTGTCATTTGGTTTTCATGCTAATACTTCCTCATTTGCTAATTTGGATATATTTAATTTCTTCCTATTTCCTTTTGAGCACCGAAGGTTAGGTTTTATTCTCATTGAAATCTAATATGTATATTTTCCTTCTCTGCTTCAGAGCTGAGCTGACAGTTAGGTGAGCAAGGCAGCTTTCTGTGAATGCAGAGTTTAAGGCATACTAGGAAGGCATTGCTACCCACAAAATCTCCCTCACTCACTTCCTGATGTTTAAAACCTCAACAACACAGCCTTACTGCTTGGGTACTCGTCTTGCCCTTGGCAGAAATGCAAATACACTGGGAATGGTTAAAGGACACCTTAATCTAAGCGTTCTGCCAGCCCTCGTGTCTTTCTTTGATTGCTCATCTTTTCCGTCAATAAATACTTTTGGAAGTAGAGTCTAGCTTGGTGCTACAGCTGGAGCTTCAGAGATAAATAAGTAGTCTCTGTCCTTGGGAAGGTTTTCATTCTAGAAGCAGATGAATACTATTTTTCATCTTATGGTAGAGCCACTTATAGGGTGCAGGGAAACGCAAAAGGAAAACTGTAGGTCTCTACTTCAACAGAGAAGAGTAGATGTTGCTGAGGCCAAAGCCCTCCACACTGGAGTAATAATGTCTTGTAAAGGTTCTTTCCCAGGGGCATATTTTGGAGTACAGAAGAGGAAGATTTGGAGTTTGAGTTCATGCACATACTATAGAGGGCGAGAGGGAATGACAACAAGAAAAAGAGTACTTCCTTCAACTTAAACAGTTCAAGGGATAGAAACATTGATCTTAGCAGTGGTTCTTGTCCATGTCCTTCCCTTCATGCCCCCAGCAAGATTTGGGTGACTGTTTCTCCTCAGTGCCCATTATGCTGAGATGCCTCTTTTTAGCTCCTCTGCCTCTATCATAGCCTAGCCTGCCAACTCCCCATACTTGCATCCGTTTGGTTTGAGTCTACTTTCGTCTAAATCCCATGGCATCCATCTGACCATATCAGTCCATGATGCTTGCTATTAGTGAAGGAAACAGGAGTCCTAAAAATCCTATTTGACCTGCACGATCTGACTCTAACCGACACCATCTCTTTCTGACACTCTGTTCCTCTTTCTTTGACACGTCTGTATTATATACATAGCCTTATAGAGTTTTAGTCCATCTCACACCTATGGAAGTTCTGTGCCAGGGGTTCCACTCTCCACCAAGCTTGTGCCCCCATGCTTTGCCACACAATATTTCAGTGCTCCCCTGCTGTTGGTGACACCCAAATTCTGTGACCCTGAGTTCCACCATGTGACTTGCTTTAACCAATAAAACCAGACAACACTCAGAGCACAGGCTCCAGGAGACCACTCATGTTTCCACTTGCACTCTTGAACCTTGGTTTTCACTGAGAGAAAAGGCTCTGGGCAGCCTTTTGGTCCCAGGAAAAACATGAGGGATAGGAAGAGAAGAACTACCCATCTGAGCCCAATCTAGATCAGGTGAGCCTGAGGGGACACATAGATTTATAAAATACAATAGCAGGTTGTTGCTTCAAGAGTTTTGGGATGTTTGTTATGTAGCAATTGCTAACTGATACACTATGCACAATAATTTGCATTTGCTTGTGGCTTTGTAATCTTCTCTACCTTTATTCATACATTTAAGTGAAGGAGAGTCAAAGTCAACAATGACTGTTTATGTGGATATCACCCATATTCTTATGAACAGCAAACTGTGGCTTGAGGACTGAGGCCCAGTAATTGAGGCCCAGTGACCACTTTCCCTGTGACTTCTCTGTGACTATCCAAATGAAATAACGGTTATCTTGCTGATCCCCTAAATCAGGTGGATTAAATTGGACAAGGATCTTTCCCTTTATGCCATAGAAACACTTCCTTCCTAGGAGATGAGGCAAATCTGCTGTCTCAGCTAGGGGTCAAGCAGAAAGTTCAGAGCTGGTTTCCAAAGTGACACAATCCACTTAATTTCTAGATAAGAGCATAGGCTGTCATAAAAGACATTTTAAACATCAGACAAGATTTAAACAGGACATCTTGTTCCTTTTATCATTGTTCTTTGAATTTCTCTTTGAAAAGCTATTGAAGTGTTCTGGCCTTCCCATTTTCTTTACCACACAAAACTTATTACTAAATGGATGTTAATCAAACCACAGGGCCAAAGATTGACAATTCAGAATGAAAACCACGAGTTCAAGTGGCTGTCATTACCTGTTCCCAAAAGGCCTGGAAAAATGTTATGCTCTGAAAGGAGACTTCTGAAATGAAGACTCTCACACTCATGAGGGGAAGAGGGACTTGAGTGGTGAACAAAGAGCACTAATTAGCCCTCCATTAGGTTTGCTGTGTCAGAACAGAAACACAGATGTAATAGTAAACGGTCAACATATGGCATCACACTGGAGATTATCAGTGCATACATACCTGGAGCGATGTGATTCTTCTCCCTGAAATAGATTTCAAAATATTTGTATTAGTCTTGCTTAAACCCATCCAAAATTCCAAAGCAGATATCTTGAGAGTGCAAACAATGAACTCTCCTGGATAAAATGGTCTAGATTATTATTTCTTTTTGAAGAAAGAGAAATAAGAAATTTGAGCAGTTGGCTCTTTTCCCTCTTTAAAATTAGTCACACTGGTTTTCTACAAGTAGCATGTATTTGCAAGAGGGTCGTTGTTGCTACACAATGCCCGACAGACCATTCATACCTTAAAGTGTCTTCAAGGATATGGCAGAAAGTGAATTAGGCTAGACCTCCATTTTTCTTCCCTCAAATGCTGAATTTCCTTTACTTGAGAGTACTTCCTAAAGGAAGGGCCTGCCTTCTCAGCCATGTCATCCTGTGCCATTTTATATCACAGGATCCTATGGCCTTTAGGGGAAAGGAGCAACCCTGAGACTTATTTGCTTTGTGGTCCACCAAATGCAAGACAAGAGACTTAGGGCTGGGTTACCTGAGGATTTGGGTGCTGTGGGGTGGGGCTGGGCAGTCCATGGTCTTCTTGTGCTGGAAGAGAGGGCTGGTGAAGAGATGGCTCATTGATGGGCCGAATCACTGGAAGGGGGTCCTCATCGGGAGACCTGGTTTGGGATTCCATGGAGTCGGTGTTGAGGGCCCCCTTAGGGTCTGCATGTCCTGAGCGGGGTCTCAAGGGATACAGGGAGTGTGGAGAATCCTTTGGGCTTCCAAGTGGACTCTTGGGGAGGTGACCTGGGGAGCCTGCAAGGGCTCTCCAGCTTCCCCAAATGGGCACTTCCAAGGCATCTTGCTGAGACAGTGAGAACGAAGTCCCCCTGCCACTGCCCCTTAACCTCCTCAGAGTAGGAGAGGTGGAAATGCGGCCAGGGGCCTGCCGGTCAAACTGCAGAAGGGTCCCCTGGTTTTCGCAGTGCTTCTTGGACAGGCTCAGTGGGCGCTGAGGAGAGGGCCCACAGCCTTGGGGCTGCACTTCTGGGCCAGATGACTCCACCTTTTGCATGGGGCTAAGAGGACCAGTTTCCAGAAGCTTCCAGGAGACACTGTCTGGGTTACTGTTCTCTGGACCACACTGAGGTTGCTCAGCTTCAACACTGGAGAGCAGCTCTTCCGCTACTGCACCTTTGTCCTTTCCCAAAGGAGAATGACAAGCAGGTTGCTGCATCTTCAGAGAGGAGGGGCAGCCCATGGAATCTGTAATAAATGAGGAGACTAAGGTGAGGAAAAGGAGTCTGAAATTCCAGAGGAAAACTTCTAGTTCTTTAAAGGAGATAGGTACAGCCAAGCTCAAATTAGCATCCTTTATATTTTGAAGATAATTAATATATGTGATTCCAGCCTTCCCATCTAAATAGCATATTGAGATAGATTTACTATCTACTTCATATCCTGTCCAGACTCAAACAAAAAAGTCTTTAAAACTTAGTGATTTAAAAGACTTCTTGGAAGTGACATTGCTAACCACCTTTTGATTATTCCATTTTAAAATAATCAAATGTACATCAAGTACTCCTTACGCTCTGCTTTTATGTACATGGTTAAGTATTTTGGTACATTCCAGGGATGCATGAAGAAAGAAAGCAAAGCCCCTCCTCTCAAAGTTTAAATTATACATTGAGATATGCCTTCTAGGAAAATTGAAATATTTGGCAAAAGTCTTTAGATTTTACCAAACTCCATATTTCAGAAAAAAATGACTTTTATGTTTAAAAAGAAAAATTCAGGTCTCCCTAGCTTCCTTGTCTCTCAAGACTTGAGGAGTTTTCTGGGATTCATACATATACATTTACCTCCCAGTTAAGCCCTTCTCATGCAAAGCTGAGCCTCTCATTTGACAACTTGATTCGTGGAAATGACTGATGATAGTTCTTTTATTTTGTAGTTTTCCACATGAAACTGCTGTTGATTATCATTCATAGTGCTGTGCTGAATACAGTGCTTCCACTATGTTTGTAGTTCTATGGAGAATACAATAATCAGTACAGGCTTTTATAGCATATAATTATTTACCTTCACCTTAAAGAGATAAGGGCACCACACTGATGTATTCCCTCTGTCAATTAATAGTCTCTTAGATTTACCCTTATCTGTAAAGAGGAGGAATGCAATGTTCTAGCATTATTAAGACAATGTTGTGATAGTGATTTGGGGAAATTTGTGATCTCTTATATTTCTCCTTGACTCTCACCTGATCTTACAGTCGACTGAAATGAACAGGTACTGGATTTTAGACCAAAGTTGTTTATGGAACTATTTCGATAATAATGAAAGTCAATTCAATTCTTAGTTACAAAAGAATTCTGAAGTCCTTAATGTTAGGTTTTCTTTAGCATTTTGAGCTGAAGACTCGAGCGTCAAAGAACTTCACATCTCAAACTAGAATGCATGAAATACCTTTTTGGGAGATTAGAGGAAGGGAGATACAGATTACAGTCAGTTTTCCAGACTGAGGCAAATTATCTGACATCTGCAATTTAAACCTGGAGAGGTTTATTTGGCTTATGGTTTCAGGGGGTTCAGTCCATGGTTGGTTGGCTCCAAAATGGAAACATCATGGTAGGAAAGCATGGTGGATGAAAGCTGCTTAGCTCATGCTGTCCAGGAAGCAGAGCAGAGGAAGAGTGCCAGAGTGGAAAGGACCAGGGATCAAGGACCAAGGTTATGCCTGCATAATCCACCCAGGCACACCTAGAAGTGAGTTTTACTAATCTCTTGAGTGGCTCTGAAATCAATTAAGTTGACAATCCAGCTTAGCTGTAACAAGCACTACCAGAAAGAACTTCTATTTGGTGAAAATGTGGCGGTAACTAGTTTTGTTTTGAGATTGGTAATTTCTGGTTGCTGTTATGGAGAGTGGTACCAGTTTTCTGGAAAATGAAAAGGCCCATTCTGACCATCGATTAGCTCAGGTCCATTTGATCTCTTCATGTCCTGAACTCCTGGCTGCTTGTGGAGGGGCCAGTTCCTCATTCTCTTGACAAACAAATGACTGAGCAGAGGGCCAGAGTTACAGGTACTTTCACACCTGTACACTCCCAGGAACTCTATTATGTTTCTACATTAGAGAATTATCCAAGTCCTAGGCAGTGACAATGTTAAAGAAATTCAGTAAGTTAGCATGGAAATCTGCATAATAGTTACATCAGAATTCTTTCTAGTCCTTGCTTTTCCTTCTGTCCCTTTAGCCTTCTTCCTCCTCCTCTGTGGAGTTGGCATACAGCTTTCGGTGTCCTGATCAGTCATCTGGACCCAGGTAGCTGACCACTGGTAGGAGGTTATTCATGGTCAATAGGACTTAAAGGTCACTAAGTGTTATTTATTGGCCAGTGTTTTAAATATTGGAACAACAAGAATAATAACTACATCCAAGTCAAGGTAATAGTAACTGCCAACATGACTCACTGCTGAGCTGGAAAAAATTTAAATACAGCAGGGCTTTGGAAGCTGGTCTGCAAAGAGGTAGGAAGGGCTCAAGCTTTGGAGTAAATAGATCTGTTTTCCTTTCCAGCCTCAACTGCCATGTGAGCTACCACAAGCCATTTTTCCTCTGTCATCCTCTGTGCAGCAGTTGTAAGAAGGCTCACAGGTTTGTTTCAGGAAATCAGTGAATGGCTGGGCTCCCGGGAGGCTCTCTTTGAAAAGCTGGCCCTTTGTAGATCTGGGGTCAAAAGTTAACAGCAAATTTGTCCATGGCGAGTCTTCTCTGAATTCTCTAGAAGACTAGAACTAGATCAATATATGATCATTACATAAAAGAGTCGCCAATCTTCTATCTCCCAAGCTTTCAGAATTCAATAAACACCCACTCATGCTGTTGGGAAAGGATCTCAATGTACTAAAAATTAAACCACATAGATTAATGATTCACTAACTCTAATTAAATCTGGAAAGACCAGCCGAACAGGACCAAGCAAAGCTGGTAGCAACAGGATCTAAACAAACAGAGTAAGAGGAATGTCCGGAAAGCAGAGGGACGTCTCTAATACCTGTAGGATGGTCTGCCTCTGAGAGCGACATGGTCCAGGTGGGTTCTGAACACACACAGGGTCTGCAGAGCCACAGAGCCAGCAGCCAGGCAAGCACTGGGAGCAACGGTCCCACTCCCGCGACAACAAACCCTCCTCGCTGAATGTAAGCACCTAGATAGAGCTGAAACGAGGAACTGGCCTCTCCCCTCCTTAGAGACTTTTCTAGTTATTTGTTTATGGAAAAGCCTAAAGGGAAGCAAGTTCAGAATCTAAGATTACTTAAGAAAAAGCCAGGTGATTTGGTTTTACTCAACAATTGCTGTTCCAATACAGAAATAGTGCAAATGTGACTTTTTACTTCTTAATGTTCAAAACTCATCACTGGTAGTACTGTGAGCAGTTCTACATTTTATTGTTTTGTTTTTTTTTTCTCTCTAAAGCTGTGCAGATCATTCCTCAGGACCTTACTTTCTTCATATCTTAAAACATTTTATTAATGGGATGGTTTGATAAACACTAACAGAGGAAATGATCAGCTTATTAGCAAAACAAATTTGTGAGCATGAACGTTCACATAATTAAAATGCAAATGGAAAAGCATTTGTATCTACCAGCATTCTTATTAGACCAGTATCTCCAAAGCATATTTATTTGGTACCCAGGTGGATTTTTCTAATGCATGCACTATTAAAATAATTTTTGTAAACACTTTATTAAAAAAACCAAATTCAAACAAATTCTAAATACTAATCTATTGAAGTTTTCAGGTCTTGGAAACATCACAGATACTTACCGTGAAGGTTCTTCTATGTCAGTGCTTCTCAAAGCAGGGTCCCTGGGGCAGCTGCGTCAGCATCACTTGGGAATGTGTTAGAAATGCAAACCTCACTTCCTCACCACTAAAAATGCTGCAGGTGGGGCCAGAAGTCCATGTTATAACATGTGTTATAGGTGATACTTAGCTGTGTTAAAATATGAAAACCATTGCCTTTGGGAACATACAGGTCTAATTTATATCTCTTGGCCTTGTGATACCCTTTGTGCTAGTCTTTGATTCTCTCACATCAGTCTTATTAGAACATCATTTACTTCACACTTTGAAAAATGACTTGATCTCCTCCCCTTGCCACCATGACCACCACGAAACCCAAAATGGAAAATTAAGGAGTATCTATTTTATTACCGTGGAGCCGGCATAAAACAATCTGAGCTCCTGACAAGGCTGTCTTGAAATGAATCGCTTTACTTCAGGAAAAAGGAAAAATGGATAAACCCTTTTAGCTTTTGTTCTGCAGAAAGGAAGGTCATTTATCTACCAATTCCCTCACACACACTTGACTGTAAAATTGTCTCCCTTGGGGGATAATGATAATGAATACTTGACCCTAACGCAAAAATTTTCAACCTCTGATTGTATTTTAAACAAGAAAATTAAGAGTCATGAAAGATGATCAGAGAAAAGAAATGGTGTCTTCTTTACCTGGTTTGTCACAGAGATGGGGACAAGGAAGCACTGTGGGTGGGGAAGGGACACAGTTTCAGGGGCAGCTTTGTCTTCCAGGCCCAGGGGTGACCACAGTGACTGCATAGGTGGCTGTTTATCACTCCACGTGTCACAGAGTTCTCTAGTCTGCAGAGAGAGCAGCTCAACTCAGCACCATTACCTGCTCTGTGGACATGGGTGTCATGGTGAGGCAGAAAGCCACCCTGGATGTGCCCGTAGGAAGTCAAAAGGCAGAGAGCTGCTTCTGTCTCATGAGTATCCAGATCTGTGGCTGCATGATGTGGACTTGTGATCGGCCCTGTGACTTAAAAAAAATTAGCCCAACATTAGAAATTAGGAGAATTTATTTTAAAAGTTTGGATGGTGGGATTTTCTTTTTTAAAATTAATAAATCTATAGAACAGTTCATCAGTCTGGCAACTCTGGGTTCGCATGCTCATACACCCCGTATGTATGGAAGGACTACGAGTCGGCCTCCCTGTCTCCACAGTATAAGCCCTGTCCAGTTCACCACAGGCCCCACCACTCCTTACCAGATCTCTGGTGTGGAGAGCGGTGTGTGGAGAGCGGAGTTAGCCATAGAGGCTCCATGTTAAGTCTTACCCTCCGCTGTATAAAGCAAGGAGACTATGTTACGAGGAACCGCATCCTTGTCAAATTAGATGTTTACCTTCAGAAGAACGTTTTGTAAGCCCGAGAAACGGGAAGGCCCACGAGGGTGGGGAATTCCCAAAGAACTAGAAAACAAGGAAGCAGGTGTCTCTGGATAAGGGTCATGATTAACAACCAAACTCACCTGCTGTATAAAAGAGAGGAGAAAAATAAACTTGGGCGCTCGGTCTCTGGGAGCCCTCCCAACTCTATCTCTTTGTCTTTCTTTTTCTTCATCCTCACAACCCCATTCAGGTACTGTTCGACAAGTGACGGCGGGCTCCGTCACTCTGGTACACAGGAAAGTCGTCAAGATTTATCATGGCACTGGTAGAGTTTTATTTCTTTTAAGAGTACTATAAATCACGGCCCTAACTGGAAACAACCCTGAGGTTCATTTCAATAAATATAGAGAAGAGGGAGAAGAGGAGGGGAAGGGGATGTACAAAGAATTGAGCTATGTTATGTGCATGCATCAGCTCCCCATGCTGAATGTAAGCATTATGTACTGCAAACACGTACTAATAAAAATTTAAAAATTGGATGCCCTTCATCAAGAGATAGATGCCTTGGCATATTCTCGGGATAGGTGGTACTCGACAAAGAAAATGAAGAAATGAAGAAAGAAGACTGTTCAGTGAAAGAAGCCAGATTCTGTGATCCCATTTATATGAACCTTATGAATAGGTAAAGCTGATTTATGATGTGTAAAGTTAAGATAATCATTTTATTTCAGGGCGAGGTGATGGACGTGAGCCAGGAGTGTGGCTTCTGGGGTAGTAGTGTGTTCCATTGTCGGTCTGAGTCCTGGCACCCGAGTGTGTTCTCCTTGTGGAAATCCATTCACTTATGCATGTCTTCATACGGGCTTTGCTCTCATAAGAGGTGTATCTGTGCTGAAAGGTGACATGCTGGTTTACTTATTTGCATGAATTTTTGGCTTGGAATTGGGAAATTCCTGAAAAATGTTTTTTTTTCTAGTGAGGAAAAGAAATATTTTTATTTGAGCTTCTTTTAGACATTAAGGCTAAGAAAATCCAATGAAATCATGCTGAAAATTATTAATATGAATATATTGATAGAGTTCAACCTTTCTTATTTAGTCAAGAAAAAATTTTATCTAGTCCATATTCTGAGCTTTCTCATATCCAAAAATGTCTGCTTTGCTATTACATATGAATGGTATATATACATGCATATGAAATGTTATGTATAGAATGCTATGTATAGAATTCTTCAAGGGCCTACAGACCTTTTTTTTGGCAAGATTTAGTTGAAATAGACCAATAGACTATTTGCTCTTTGCTAACTCTCTCACAAGGCTACAATCCATGTGTTGGATGGCTGCATTCCTTTCTGGAAGTAGCTCAGGGTCCTCTTCCCATCTTAGGAGGGTGTTGGAAGAATTCAGCTCCTTGTGGTTGTAGGACTGAGGTTCCCAGTTCCCAGAGGCTGTCTAGCTTGCCCCATATGATCCTCTCCATGGCTGTTCACATACAGCATGCTTCTTGAAAGCCAGTAGGACTGTCTTTCCCTCCAACCAATTAGGATGGAGTCCCCTAGATGCACTGTAATGTAATCACAGGAGTGATACGTTAGTGCCCTTTCTGTATTCTATTGGTTAGAAGCAAATCACATGCCCCACTCACACCTGAAAAGGGGATTACACAAGAGGGTGACAAGATCACTTTAGGCTGTATCTGTTGTGGTCGTTTCAGTAGTAATTGAATTATTTTCTAGTTGGTTATAGGTAGGCGAAGACATGTCCCCAACCTTTCATATGGTATCTCTCTGTTAGTCTTTGGCATCACACTGGCCCAAAGAATGATTTTAAGCAGTTAAGTCCTGGCTCCTGAGGAACAGAAGCCAGTGTGAAAAAGTGAAAGCAGACCAAGCAACTGTGCCTCATAGAAACTCGGGATGTAGCCGCGGTTTCACGATTCCTCTGACTGCCCTGGCTCTGTTCCAGGCTATCTGTTCTTGCCAACTGTCAACAGAGGCCTCACGGGTTTCATTTCTTATGTTTAATTTTATTGCGGGCTGCTTTGACTCTCACACTGACAGGGGCTCACAGCAAGCTTCCACCTCTGTGAATGAATTTGTTCTGATCTGAACTGACCAGCAGCGGATTGTTCTACTGTACCTTGGAAAGTGTGGAGATGAGAGTTTTCTGGGAAATTCATTTTGAGTTGTGCCAAAGTTGTAAGCTGGGACTGATTTACACAGAACATTTCACCCAGCCCAACTCAACCAACTTTTATTCTGACAGTTGTAAAGTCCCTGAGTTTGCCTTCCTTGTCAGAACTCTAGCTGTGAAGAAGTTAATGACTGTAATAAGAACCATGGAATGAGTTTTTAAAGCCTGATGGTGGGAGGTGGTAGCCTGTGAATTTTATTTTTAAATGTAGTAAAGATAGAACAGATAATTAGGCCTGAAAATTATCCTGCTTCTGGTTCTCTTTTGTGATTTAGGACCCATTTATTGTAAGATTTCATCCACTTCCTTATGATCTCTGTTCCTAAGTCATAATTCTAACACAATTATGTCAAAATTATCTCGACAGTGGCCAAAAGTGGTGTTGAAAACAGAGAATTAAGGCTTTGGGTGGTGAATAAACAGAAGCAGCAGGACCCTAGAAATGGGAGGCATAAACCTCTGCTCTTCTGAACATTTTCCTGAGGACTGTGGAGAAAGAAAGTGGAGAGAAGAGAAAGCAAGCATGGGCGGTTACATAAAGCAAGAATTATTTCTAAATGGAGGGAAGATTGATTCAATTTTCTCAAATGACACTCGAGGAGCTTTTTCCAGCAAAGGGACTCTGAGAAGGATCAGACTACTGTCACACTGGATGTGAATGTAGTTGTTTTTTTTTCTTCCAAATGCAATGCATAAGGTTTCCGATAAATTTACAGTCACTGGGTGAAGATAGTCATCTCTAAACTTTTATGACTGAGGAGTCCTTTGCCTGATTGTATTTGTTGTCTTCTTTGCAGTCAGGAATATGTCTCAGATTGTTGTTCTAAGAATTGTGATAACCAGAAATTGATTTGTGCCTGTGCCCCATCGCTGGAGGATGAGCAAAGTGCAAGGTTGATCATACAATATTTGATACAGAGCTTCAGGGTTGCAATTGGTTAGCATGAGGCCCTTACATATACTTAATATTAGAGAGTTAAATAATCATTTGCAATTTATATGTTTTATTTTTTTTCACCAGATGCTGCATACTCAGTTGCTATTACATTTTGTTCAACACTTTGTGCATGACCAAGACTTTACCTCTCACAGGGTCAATCAAATTAACTTAGAAAAGATTCAGTAGGTCTGTTTTGTGCTGTCTGAAAAAATTCAAAAATTTATACTCTTATTTTCTGCTCTTCAGTGATAAGAATTTTTTAGATACTTTGACTTTAATACTATATCTGGCAAAGATTCTCCTGCTGTCTTTCAGGACAAGATGAGAAAATGTCAGCTAAATTGGAGGGTAGGTAGGTAGCGATCACCTATATCTCAAAAGGACTCACAGAGGCTATTGAGATTATTATCATGATCATTATTTTTTTCTGGTTGTATTTATGCATCTTAAGTAGGCACTCTACAACTAAGCTACATCCCCAGGCCTAGAGAGTATAACTTGTAAAAAAATGACAAAATATTTTACATGCCAAAGTACAAATTCTTTTCTCCTTAATATGTGCATCCTTCAGTGTCATTAATATATATAATTTAAGGGCTGCATATTATGCCACAATATAACATTAAAATTACACAGCAATGCCCTTATCGAGGTCACTGTTACCAAATTCATAGCATGACATTGCTAAACTAGGCTGACTTCCTTCCAGCCCTTCTCCTGATGTTGGGTTCTTTTTACTTCAGTTAATAGGGCTGATTTTCCTTCCTGTTTCTTGACACAGCCTGGTCCATCAGAACATTGTCATCTTGCCTACGTATGAGTGGCCACATATGATTTTCTAGGAGTTGACAAATAACCACAGTTAGGACAATCAAGACTTTGCCTATCAGCTAGGATTTCCTCATAGCCACTTTTGCTACCATGCAGGAGCTCCTGGTTCTTAGTGTGATTGTGGTTAACTTAATGAAAGCAAAGCATTCAGATGTGTAATAAGCTCTCTCTCTTTGAAAACCAATATTAGTTAGGCTTCTGTTACTAAAGAGTCTCCATTATTACAGAATTGAGATATGGTCAACAGAAATGGAAACATTACCTTTTTTTTAAAAGACAAAGAGTATATAAGAGCTATTTTTGTACATTAAAATAATTGTTATGGGAAATTTATAGCAGTAGACTTCTTCTGAATAGATTAGGCTGGAAATAGGTTGTAATTTAGAGATAGGTAAGTTTTATAAGACCTTATAATGCTTATGGCTATCCAGAAATAAAGAGCTGCTTTGTAGATATTCCAAAGGCCTTGGCCAAGCCCAGTAACAGGACAGCACCAAATCTACTCCATGCAGAGAAGATCTTGTGAATGCAGCCAGCCTCTGGTCTTCAAGTAATAAGAGCAGCAGTAGTGAGGATTCTGGGGTGCAGTCTGGGGACCACAGCCCCTGTGTGTTGACCTTTGTAAGAGAAGAACGAATTGTGAGAAGAAGAAGCTGGGCTGAGGAACTGAGAGGTGCTCATCA